CAGCCACAGTGTTGAATTTCAGGATGAAATTATTTTTATAAAATATCTCGTTCAACTTTCGATAAAAGATGATAGTAATAAAAACTTGTTGGAAATTTAAATTTATACAATTTTGATGAGTATAATTTTTCATTCATGATCGATGTTTTTCTATTAAACCTGAAAAAAGAGAGGAAATTAAATTATAGCATTATCTTGTTTATTTTTAAGTTTAACGTATAAATAATCACAAACTGACTTGTAGGAAATAAAAATCTCTACAGCTTGCGTTGTTACTTTGATTAGAGAGCTGCTTGATGAACATTTAACATCGACACTCCTAAAGACAAAAATGTGAATTTGGCCTTCTCAAAAGGAAAAAACTATTTAGTTCCGATTTCACAAATATAAAAAAAACGAAAAGAAAGGTAATTCCGATTTTAGTGAATTACAAAAGCTTTGTTTTGGTTCCGACAGAGAACGGTTCTAGGACGGTTCAAATTAGTTGACCATTCCATTCATAAGAACATCTAACCCAAGACATACTGACAATACACTTGGGTAACTATGTTGAACTGTTCTAGGACTGTCCGCTGACAGAACCAAAACAAGCCTAATAGCTGTTTTACATTGACAATTTATTGATGAATAAATTGACGAAGTTCTTCATGAATGAATTCACGAATTTATTAGTAAATAGTGTGGTTTTACACTGCTACAGACTTTGTCAAATTTTTGACGGATGAATCGGTTTTACCAACGAATCAAAGCAAATAAATTTCAAAAATGTCACCTTTCCACTTATTGTATATTATAATTGTAGTGATACAACAGCGGTACCGTTTTGACACATATTATATAAATATTAGTGTTTGTAAGTAACAAATCAGTAAAAACAATGCAAAACTAGTACGACGCCACACAATTATTTACATATTCCAATAACATAACCTCATTACTGATCTGAGTCTGGAAATCTGGGTTGGTACTTCCGAACTTCACGAAGAAATTGACGAATATTAGAACATGTTCTAATTCGTCAAGAACTTGATGAATAAATTCATGAAGTTATTTGATAGTAGATTTGGTGCATTGCACTTGTCCATTTCTTGATGAAGCGACTTCATGAATTAATTGATCAATAAATTGTCAATGTCATGCATCAACTAGATCAGGAGTACGGATGATACAATATCAAAGAAAAACACGTCTGAAATTATGTTCTTGTGGTGGTGCAGAAAAGTCTTACCCTTAAAAAAGAAAAAATCGAGTTTATGTTGTGGAAAATCATACAGTTCTCAAATAGTTCGGGAATTGATAACGGGAGAATTTTATTAAATAAAGATAATAATTAGATCCCTTTTTTAATATACGGAAAGAAATATATTGTTGAAGCTCATATACTATAATTCTGAACTAAATAAAGTATCTTCTACCAAGAAAACGTTTCTTTCAGTTAAGAAATTTTATTTAGTTCAGGATTTTAGTATATGAGTTTCAAGAATATATTTCTTTGAGTACATATAAATATATTAAACTTGATTTAAAAGATTTTTCGCGTGTAACCAAAGTTGTAGAGAATTAAATTACTGATAAGTTTGAATTTTAGTCAAAAGTTGAAAGTAAATAAGCTAGGTTTTTAATAACAACAATTTCACACTTAAATTCAAGATTCAAGATGGGATTTAGATTACCAACAAACCCCCAACAATTAGGAAGAGAAAATCGTGGTGTCGAAAAGAAAATATGGCAATGTTAAAAACAGCAATTTTGGACCATCAAAGGGAAAGTAAGAAACCAGCATTTTTATCCTAATTTTGGGGTTCTGAATGCGAATATGCTATTTATTTTTCTCACAAACGACGGGAACATAGTCAAAACAGCCCCAGTATGGAGGTGAAAAAAGAATTTATAATTACACAAAGATTTATTTATAAACCAGTTGTTGAGCAACTTAAATCAGACGGTACAAAGAATACCATTCTAACCTACCTTCCTCACCTTATCCCTTTCACCTCTTATGGGGGTGAAAAGGACTATTGTGGACATAAAATCCAATTTCTTTCAAAAAAAATTCTTTAGCGGTCATGGTGGTAATTCAAACGAGAAAAAGGTGCTTTACTACATAGTGTCACCCTTTCACACTCGCATCCTCTATGGAGGTAAAAGCTGTATGTAACTGTTTCAAAGTCAGTTTTTAGAACAAACAAATATTGAATCAATCAAAGTAATAGTTTAATTATTGAGTATCTATCATAATTTTTAATTGTCAGACGCTGTTCTTTAATCCTATCCAAACCCCTGCGGTGGTGCGATTTTACCTCTGTTTTACCCTTTTTCCTATAATCCTTTAAGGCAATGAGTATATTACGTTTGGTTTTCGGTTTAGTTTTGTTGCAATCTATGCAAAAATATGCGGCAAATACAAAAACAATTAGGCTTTGAAACAGTGACATTAGTCCAATTAAATGGGCCTTTAAATTAATTGCAATTTGGTTATCTTGCCTGAATTTTTTATATTATTTTATTTACATATATAAGATAGTTTGAGGTATATAATAACAATAAGTGAAAGTAATTTTTTTTCAACCCCCCGGTCAGGGGTGAAAAAAGATAAAATAAAGGGTTTTTTCAAGACAACTCAAAAGGGAGCTAGAAAAAAAATTTCTTATAAAAGTTGTAGAGCATAAAATTCTACATAAAAATGGTCTATTGACTTTTTCTTGTACCATTAAAATAAACAGAGTTAGGCTGCTAGAAGATAAGGGATGATTTCAGAAATTTAAAAATTCATAAGCTGAAAAATGAATGAATTTTATAATTTTTTTTCAATCTACTCTAGGAAATGTAAACTTCTTTTCAGAGAAATATATAGGTATATTTTTTAATTTTTAATAAAAAAGTTACAATTTCAATTTTTTAATCGTTAACTTTTATGATTTAACACTTTTTTTTCTGTCATTCGATTGATTATTTAAAATAATGAAAAGTTACTTTCGAAATTTTGTTTTACGGTAAAAATAAAAAATCACATTCGCTTTGTGAAATTGTTAAAACTTTTTTATTAAAAATTTAAAAACATATCTTTTTCTCTGAAAAGATAGTTTACATTTTTTAGAGTAGATTAAAACAAATATATAAAATTCATTAATTTTTCTGCTTATGAATTTTTAAATTTCTGAAATCCTTTAACTTCTAGTCTCACTAACTGTTAATTTTAATAGTACAAGAAAAAGTCAATTAACCATTTTTTTTGGAAAAATTTAAGCCCCAAAAACTTTAAAAGAATTTTTTTTTCATAGCTCTTACCCCTTTTGAGTTATCTTGAAAAACCCCTTTATTTTATGTTTTTTCAGCTCTGTCACTTATTGTTATTATACGTATAGCAAAAGTACCGGAACGGCAGAATAACTCGGCGGGAGAGCATTTTAAAGAAAAATGTTAAATACAAAAGTTTCAGGATTTCTCTCTGGCTATCCGATGGTGACCTTGACATTGACCTTGACCTTGAAGATCATTTCAAGGTCAACATTTTTCTCTAAAATGCTCTCCCGCCGAGTTATTCTGCCGTTCCTGTACTTTTGTTAGTTTGACCTTGTGGGGGCCCCAAGGTCAAAAGGGAGGGGTCACTTAAGGTCATATCTGAACGTAAAATTGTCCGCTATTTTCATTTCTGGGGTCAAAAGTATAGGGTCCCATTTGAAAAATCACATTTGACCTTGAAATGATCTTCAAGGTCAAGGTTAATGTCAAGGTCACTATCGGGTAGCCAGGGAGAAATCCTGAAACTTTTGTATTTAACATTTTTCTTTAAAATGCTCTCCCGCCGAGTTATTCTGCCTTTCCGGTACTTTTGCTATACCTTGTATATCTCAAACTAACTTATATCAAAAATTCAGTCAAATTGACCAAAATTGCGATTTAAAGGCCCATTTAATTGGACTAACATCCATAGGAGGTGAGGGTGTGAAAGAGTAACATTATGTATCCATCCACATAAGATCCACTTCTTATTTGTGGAAGGGCGAAATGGGCGGTGACTATTAGACACCTTCATTATAGCTATCTTCCTCTATCGCACGGATTTCTATAACTTTATCGCTCTCACGTAATGGCCGATGAACCATGGGGACTTTCCGACCCTGTACATTCTTTTTTTCACCTTCATACAGGGGTTGTTTCGAGTGTTTTCCCGTCGTTTTTGGGAAAAATAAATAGCATATTCGCATTTAGCACCCCAAAATTAGAATAAATATAAAGGTTTCATACTTTTCCTTTGATAGCCCAAAATTGTCTGTTTTTTAACATTGCTCTTTCAACGATTTTTTTGTATAAATTACTGGGTTATCAGTTTCACACAAAAAACATCTTTTGTCAATTTCTCTTAAAATGGCTAGATTTCAAGTAAGAAGTAAATATAAAAGATTCCATTTGCTTCTCCCAAATTAAAAAAAAAACAGAATAAGGCACCAAATTGATTACATTTGAGAAACCATGAAAGGCAACCATGTTTAACGTACATCATTTTTTTTTGTTCTTATAAGGCGGTGACTCAATTTTTATAAAATATATTTGCGCTGTATATGAGTTCACTCAGAAGAAGAAACTAAGAGTATAATTCAATCCGTTCAAAGTTGCGCAATCGATTTAAAGGAATAAAAAAAGTTTATATACCTAAACGTGGTTGCTGAAACGTTTTGTTTAACACCTTTAACACGCTGTAACTTTTAAATTAAACATTTTTTGACTAATTGTGAGAAGTTAACCTAAACTCAACTGTTTTAATTCAGGAATATGTGGTTGTTATAGGACCACATTATTTCCTTGGACACCGTAGAGAATTAAAATATCTATCATCTCTTTTAAAAATTTTTAAGTGGCAACCCCAAGAGTCAAATTTGTTATAAATGTATGTAAAAAATGTCCGCCTCAGAAGAAAACATTTCTGTGGCGAATGAATATTATTGTTTTGCTTTAGTTGGCCCATCCTGTATGAAAATTTACACTGTGTATTTTAACAGGTCACCTGCCGATTTTGAATAGAAGGCTCTGAAGGCGTCGGTCCCTCCACCACTCTCGCTAGGAACATCGTGCGTGACAGAAGGGTACAGCAGCGTTAAACAATTCCGACCAAGTAATCGCGGACAAACAGCCAACAAAGCCGACAACCGACCGCCCTGAGGATACCCCATCGCCGACAACGTGATGTAACGGTGGTATTTTTAAATGCGAAACCGAGAAAACGGCCGCGGATCGGAAATCGGTGCACCGCCAACTTGATCGCCGTGTGTCCAACCGGCTAATGACTGGGAAGCGAGCGCTAATTATCTGTGAATTATTAAATCGACATGTGACAGTGAAATCTTATCTCGCGAACAATAAAATATCTACGACGGTGTGATGGATGGTTATCGCGGGTCACTGCAGTAGTTCGGTTTTTTGACACGATGTGCAAATGCTGTCAGGAGTAAGTAAAGTAGTTTTTCATTTGTTTTTGGTATTGGTGGGCAGATATTTAGTTTAAGTTCCCATTAGTGTGTGCTAATACAAAAGGTAGCGTATGTTTTTTGTTTTTTTTCTGGTACCTTCATGGCACGCGTCGTTTTGTGTTAATTTTATAACACACTAATGAAAGTGTAATTCATTTGCTAATGACTGCACATCAAATATTTTTACAATTTAAATATAGTTAGATAAAGTTTATTATTTTTTATTATAATATTAATATTACGCATTTAGACATTGAGAAAATGTAAATTGTATAAAGTTTTATCAGAAACTTTATAAAGAGTGGACTAAGGTGAGGTGTTAACAAATATTAGGTACCTATTAGATAAATTAGTGATAGGTACTTATAGCGGAAAATATAACTGATATTACAAAAACTCACTCATTTTTTTTATTTTATTTTTATTTAGACTCTATTGCAATAAACACTCAGTATAGGAAACAACAAAGGCGTTACTTACACTTTGCAGTCTCGTACATTTTTATTATTGTAGATACTGCAACAAATAAATATTTAAAATATTTTAATTAATTCGTTGGTAATTATGTGCCTTTAAGCACGACTGCATTAAAAAACAGAGACAGGAGAATTTAGCGAAATATAGGTATTAATTTTTAGTGAGGCAAGTTTTACAGAGTTTTTCCATTATTAGGTATCCTCTTATGCTCTGTATTCTGATGAATCTGTTAATACACGCCTTTAAAACTTTAACAATCTGTGTCTCAAAAAGAACTTCAAGCGCATATGTAATACAAAATATTTTTAAGTTCGGACGAGGCATACACACCCTTCTTTTTGAATACATTGTTATGTAACGCCCAGTATAATTCTAAATTTATTTAAACGCATTGTCCCTATAAATCGTTATTTTTTTCCAAAACACGGTAATGCATCATTAGAAATAATTTGTGTACAAAATAAAATTTGAATTTAAAAAATGCTGATTTTATTACACAACGGCGTGACTTTTGAGAAAAATATTACCAGCGTATCTTAATATCTGCGCTTCCGGTTTGAGATGAGCTTTATTTTTTCGGATTGAATATTATTTTATTAATATACTGAAATTATTTAATTAAGAAAGATAAAATTTATTAGAGCAAACTAAATAATTAAAAAATTGGCTGGTACCTTTGTTTATTACTGGAAAAACTACCTTAATTTACTAGGTATTTATTTGATTTCTTATTTATCTGTTTTTTTATTTAATTTAATGCAAGAAAATTTCGTGAGAAGAAAATATATACTTTCAAAAAAATATATTCGTCAATAACAAATTCATACGCAAAACATAAAGAAAAATAAATACATAGAAACAAGTTCTCGAATATGGAGGAAACTAATAAACAAAATGAAGGAATTTTAATATCTATGCAAACAGAACACTATTTTCATATTTATTAAAAGTAGATTTATTGAAATCATTGTTTTAGTGATAACATAGTCAGAAAAATAGACGTTTTTTACCTGTGGAATACGCCCATTTCCATCTCCATCATTTCATATAGTGAATCGTTTCTCAAATATAAAATTTTTTTTTCAAAGGATTTGATTAAAATATGTGACACATTTTTCGTCATTTTTTTTTGTTTTTAGACAAAAATGAAGTACCTACACAATATATGATGACGTAGATACTAGATTGTTATATAATTAGTGTTATATTTCTACAGTAAATGTAGATAACTGATTCTATAATTTTGATGCTCATACATTTTCATCTTACGATTCATCTACAGTGTAGTATTTGCGTTGACGTTCCATTGCGATTAAACTCAGTGTGTAACAGTTTTACACTTAAACCACTTTTGACCGCTTTTGACAGTACCATGTATACCGCATGGTAAGGCAACTATAGAATTCCTTCCATTTCCATGAAAATAGTACTTTTTACAGAATTCTGCTTCTGTCACAGCAGTTATCCCCCTCTGCGCCTATATCAAATCAGTACGTCCTCAGCTATTATTTCGAACAATTCCAATGAAACATGAAAAATAATAGAAGTAGTTTCTCTATTCATTGACTTTATTTTATAAGTACCTACTCTATATCTATGTAATATTTTATATTGAATTTTACCAAAGGTAACGACCTTATCGTCCACATAACGAGTAAAAAATTTCTCTTTTTGATTGTTATCACCAATTTACAAGACTATGCCTTTAAATTAATTAATTAATATGAATCATACAATACAGTTCTAAGTCAATAGTGATTATAAAATCGCTGTCAATATAAGAATTTTAAATTAAACAGAAATGAATAAACACATTTTTATTACCCATCGCCAAGACTAATAGAGACTCAGACTCGATATAACTGCAGTGAGACTTTTCAAACACACACTTTTCCATTTTCATAATAAACTGTTCATTCCATCCATAATATTACACATTCACATCTCTCACCACGCATACACAGTAATGGCTGAATCTGTTCTACTGGTACCTACATACTTCGTTAACTGTTCGCGCTTGCGCATTAAGTAACAGTATTATTTAATTTTAGAAATAAGTTTATTATCTAGACGTAAATGTTAGTGTTTGTTATTACATTATTCGTTTCAATCATTAATATTACTTGTATAAAATCAAATATTTAACTTTTCCATGAATGTATTCGTACTTTTGTGTGCTCAACATAATATTCTCCAAACTATTTTTAGTGTGTAAATAATTATTAATTCTGGAAAACGAATATTTTGTAAATGATGAAACTGAATTATTCAATTATTCAATGGATATATACTAATAATATTTGACACTAAACTAAAAAAAATAAAGCTTTCTTCTAGATTCTTAGAAGCAATACTTTTTCTTCGGTGTGGAATATAAAATTCCGTTTCAATATCTTTTTCTACTCGGTAGATATACAGGGTGTTAATTAAGTATGTACAATAAATTCAACAGACTATTATTTGAGTGATTTTAAGACAAAAAGTTCATATAAACATTGGACCGCAGATGCTTCAAGATACAGGGTGTTAAACTTTTGTAAAAAAAATTGCTATTTCGTAAATATCTTAAATACCCTTTACCCAATTTTGTTGTAATTTGGCAGTGTTACTTGTAGCGTTAAGGGGCTAATTTAACCCTAACTTGATTAGATCTATTAAGTCCAGTAGTGTCCTGAGCGGTACCTAATGAATATTTTTCTCAAAAAAAATGTACGCCGCTGACTTTTTTGTAATTTTTATATATTTTTTTTGGATTAAACAACTAAAAATACAACTTTTTTATCTCTTGAATATTTTTCGTATCTTGATTAAGTGTTGGAGAAAAAAAATAAAATCCACTTAATTGCATATCCCTGGACCGCACAAGAAACATTATTAAAAATATTCATTATGATACCGCTCGGAACGCCACTGGACTTGACAAATCTAATCAAGTTACGGTTAACACTACAAATAACACTGCCAAATTACAACAAAATTGGGTAAAGGGTGTTTCAGATATTTACGAAAGAGTTTTTTTTTAAGTTTAACACCCTGTATCTTGAAAACGAAGCATCTGCGGACCAATTTTTATATGAACTTTATGTCTTAAAATCCCGCAAATAATCGTCTGTTGAATTTATTGTACATACTTAATTAACACCCTGTATATAGATGTATTTTCTTTAAAAACAACATTCTCCATCTTTAAAACGAAGGTTTCAGTTGAAATAAATGTTTATAGGTATAAGAAAATATTCTTAAATTTGGAAGAAGAGGGTTCTTTCATTCTGACACATTGTAATGTTACGTTGTAATGTTATACCCTGTATAATAAAGAAACATCTAAATATACAAAGTGCATCGACGAAAACAAAACAGCATTAATATCTCCGAGAAAAATGTGTTTTGGAAAAATGATGAATAGGGCGATTTTGCTTCGGAGGGGGACAATCTTTGACATAGGTACCTAAATTGCAAATATAATAAGTGTTCATGCGTTTTAATTAATGGTGGTCTATTTTTTTAATAATAATTTACGCATTCGCATTTTTTTAATATCGAATAATATTCGATGGTTAGCAAAATTTTCATAGTTATTCCATAATAGCACAAATAAATTGAAAATGTATTATTTAGTGCTGTGGTTATAGACTTAAAAAAATATACGACTTATATTTATTTTATTTTCTGTCTCGGCTTTGATTTAATTTAATTTAATGTATATAAAAATAATATTTATATAATTTTCATTGCCAATTTACTCTCAGTGTTCTTTGAACAGGCAAATATTGTTTTCGGCAGTACTTATTCATAAATTTTTCAGTAACGTGGGCAATTTTTCTTTTTTTTTGTAAAACTGTCACAAAACTAAACATTTCAAAAAACTTTTTTTAAACTGCTGACGATTACTCAGTGTCTACTAAAGCTTTTGATTTGAAATTTATAAATAAAAATGGGTATTTCTGCCTATTTCATCAACTTATCAAACATACTCCCTATTTATATTTAGTGTCGACAGCTTTATTTATCAAAAAATGAACTGGCCAGTAGCCACGCTATGACCGACTTTTAAGTGAGTGATTTGTATCTATGATTCACGGATATATCTTCTAGTATTGTGAGTCATTGTACACAAATATACAGGGAGTTCCTAAATAAGTGTTCCAAAATTCAATAAAGAAAAGGTCAATCATTTATTGTACAAACCCTTTACTTTTAAACCTAAACCTGACTGGTATAATTGTACGGATTAAACACGTAGAATGATAGTTTGCGTTAGCGTAGTTGGTTCATACCCCATTATCCTAACTTTTTATGTCCATTAATATTTAAATTTTGTCAGAAAAAATTTGAAAAAGTAGGTATTTTTTTTGTGCAAAAAGAGGCTCTTGTTGAATATCGCTATGAGCTATAGTTTGTGAGGACAATAAAGGAACTGTTACAGACAGACACACTGTTTTTTAATTTTCATAAAAAAGTAATATTTAAGTAACATCTTATATTTCCTTCTACAAACGTG